TAGTTTTTGTACAGTCTACTATATCAAGAATACTCACATATACACATGCAGATACGTATGTTTTTCATATTTAAACATGCATTCACTCTATACAGTTTATGAAGAAAAACTACAGTCTCCAGCTCCTCCCTACCCCCTCTTCCACTTCTCCTTTCCAAGGTATTATAACAACTTTTAACCAGTGGTTCTCAACCAGAGCATTTCTGCCTCCCAGCAAACATACGGTAATACCTGGATATTTGTTTGATTGTCACAGCTAGGTAGGAGGGAGGGCTGCTGTAGGCATCTGATATGTAGATGTTGCTGCTCAACCATCCTGTGATGCTTGGGCCAGCCTCCCACAACAAACACTTATCTAGCCCAAAATGCCAGTGGTGCAAAGCTTGAGAAATCTTGCTTTTAACTGACTTTCTTAATATTTACTCTTTAAGTAACTTGCTGCTTCTTAATTTTTGAGTTTGGGATATTATCTAATAACTATCTCTATGAAAGATAAAGATTTAGCTCATTTTCTCTCTCTTCCTCCTGTCCTCTTGATATAGTTCTGCTTAACTGTGGGGAACTCATTTTTCAAATTTATTATTATCAGTGACCACGGTTCATTTTAAGCTTCCTTGCTTTGTATGACTGAGGTTTGTAATTAATTGATTACTTTTCCTTTCCTGTGGACCTTTTTGTTTTACTTGGAGTTCATAATTGTCCTTTTTTTCTTTATTATCTGCTTTATAATTCAGCTCCTATAAATTCTCTATCAGTTGTCTAAATCTCCTTTTAAATTTTCATTCATATCAATTACTCTCCCAATTTCATTTTCCTACGAAAGGAGTTCCTGGAGCCTTTCACTTACTTTAATCTGGGCTGTGTTGCCCTCTCTGCCTGGTATACATTTAGTATCTTGGGATCTCCCTTCACTCTTTTTTTTTTTTTTTTTTTTAATTTTAGTTAACATACAGTGCAATATTGATTTCTGGAGTAGAATTCAGTGGTTCATCACTTACATATAACACTGCTCATCACAAGTTCCCTTTTTAATACCCATCACCCATCTAGCCCATCTCCCACCCACCTCCCTCCATCAACCCTCAGTTTGTTCTCTGTCACCAAGAATCTCTTGTGGGGGCGCCTGGGTGGCTCAGTTGGTTGAGCATCCGACTTCGGCTCAGGTCATGATCTCACAGCTCATGAGTTTGAGCCCCACGTCGGGTTCTGGGCTGACAGCTCGGAGCCTGGAGCCTGCTTCAGATTCTGTGTCTCCCTCTCTCTCTGCCCCTAACCCACTTGCATCCTGTCTCTGTCTCTCTCAAAAATAAATAAATATTAAAAAAAAAAAAAGAGTCTCTTGTGGTTTGTTTTCCTCTCTTCTCTCTCTCCCTCCCCTTCCCATGTGTTTATCTGTTTTGTTTCTTAGATTCCATATAGGAGTGAAATCATATGGTATTTTTCTTTCTCTGATTTACTTATTTTGCTTAGCTCCATCCACATGGTTGCAAATGGCAAAATTCCATTCTTTTTGATGGCTGAGTTAATATTCAATTATATATATGTATACCACATCTTCTTAGCCATTCATTAGTCAGTGGACATTTAGGCTTTCTCCATAGTTTGACTATTGTTGATAATGTTGCTATAAACATGAGGGTGCATGTATCCCTTTGAATCTGCATTTTTGTATCGTTTGGGTAAATACCTAATAGTGCAATTGCTGGATCACAGGGTAGTTCTGTTTTTAGTTTTTTGAGGAACCCTTATACTGTTCTCCAGAGTGTCTGTGCAAGTTTGCATTCCCACCAACAGTGCAAGAGGGTTCCCTTACTCTGCATCCTCACCAACACCTGTTGTTTCTTGTGTTGTTAATTTTAGCCCTTCTGACAGGTGTGAGGTGATACCTTGTTGTGGTTTTGATTTCTATTTCCCTTGATGATGAGTGATATTGAGCATCTTTTCACGTATCTGTTAGCCATCTGGATGATGTCTTTGGAAAAGTGTCTATTCATAAATTCTGTCGATTCATTTCTGCAGTGGATTATTTGTTTTTTGGGTGTTGAATTTGATAAGTTCTTTATAGATTTTACATACTAACCCTTTATCAGATATGTCATTTGAAAATATCTTCTCCATTGCAAAGGTTGCCTTTTAGTTTTATTGATTGTTTCCTCTGCTGGGCAGAAACTTTTTATCTTGTTGAATTCTCAATAGTGTATGTTTGCTTTTGTTTCCGTTGCCTTTGGCGATGTATCTAGTAAGAAGTTGCTGTGGCCGAGGTCAAAGAGGTTGCTGCCTGTGTTCTCCTCTAGGATTTTGATAGTTTCCTATGCACATTTAGGTCTTTCATCCATTTTGAGTTTATTTTTGTGTATGGTGTAAGAAAGTGGTTCAGGTTCATTCTTTTGCATGTTTGTCCAGTTTTCCCAACACCATTTGTTGGAAGAGACTGTCTTTTTTCCTCCCTTCACCCTAATTCTGGGAATTCCCTTTGTCTTTTACCTTTGTGGATCTGTTTACTGTACCTATATCCTCATTCTTTTTTCCTAGTATTCTGAAATTCCACTATGATATTTCTTGGTGTAGGTTTATTCCCTCCATTGTGCTGAGCACTGGGTGGACCTTTTTGATTTGGAAACTCATGTCCTTTATTTAGACTGGAAAATTTTCTTGAATTATTTTTGTTAATTAGTTTGGCTTCTCCATTTTTTCTGGCCTTTTATTGTTTTTCTTTTATTTATTTGGTCTTTTACTTTCTAAGGGTGGTTTTATTATTTGGATGTTGCAACTATTGGAATGGTCCTCTTTTCCCTGCCATCTGCCATATCTTTTTCCTTTAGCTTTACTTTCTGTGATATTTCCTCAACTTCATCCACCAGTCTTTTTCTTGAGTTCTTAATTTTGGCAGTTAGTTTTCTAAGTAGTCTTTTTAAAGAGATCCTTAATTTTTCCTAGAAACAACATCTTCTCTTAATTTGGGGGAATATTAATGATAATGTATTTATTCAAAGTTTTTTTTTTCTCCTTGTATATTCTATGTTTCCTCCAAATTATGCCCCTATCCTTTCTTTATTTCTTTATTTTGATTTCATTTCATGTTAGTGGAGTTCTTCAGATGTCTGGTAATCCTCCCCACTCCTTATACTATGGAAGACTAAGGAAAGGAAATAAAAAATGAGCAGCTCTGACTTTGTGAATAGGGCTAGTTGACTGTGAACTTCACTGAGCCATTCAGTTGGATAACTTCCCAAGTCTATATACCTCTATGTCTTTCCTCTTAGAGTGGTCTAATTCCCTAGAGAAACTCTTTCAGTCTCTTCGCTAGAGGGCTGGTTGCTAGCATTCTAGTGACCAAGGAGGGAAGGAGAACTTGAGGTTTCAGTATCCAGTACGAAATACTTTATTTTCCTTTTTTCCGTATGGTATCTGCCCCACTCCAATGCCCACTCCAAACCACAATTATTAATTGCTTGGTGGTTCCCAGGTAGAAATTTCTTT